TATTGTAATCATCTAACTCCGTTCTATAGTTAAATTTAGCTTCTTCTATGGCAAAAAAAGAATCGCTCGATAAATGTTTTTCGAAAGAACTCAGCTTTTTTTCTACTGAATTTAAGGAGAAATCACCTGAATATCTTCACCATTTTCTCTGTCGGAAAATTATCGTAGAATTCTATCGACCACTTCTTTTTTTCAGTGAGAATTGGTCTTGGTTCTCTTACTTTAGATGCTGCCTTGTTTTACCTAGGTATGTTTTTCGGTAAAAACCTATTTTTCCCACTTATACCATGGCTTGGCAGAGCATTATAGTGGTTTCACATGTTGCCGTGCTAATGAAAAACGCCGGATGAAAATTAGAGATTTGCCAAGTTTTTTGCATGAAACATGTATTTTTCAAGGAAGTTGTGCATGTTTTTCCTTGTAATACTCAGATATTTTGGATGAAATTCCAAACGAAAGTTTCTGAAAGATCTGAAGAAAATTTTCACCGTTTTCCCAGCAAATTCGTATTTTATGGAGGGAAATATGTCAACTTCTGAAGGCTCTTACGGCGGGTTTTTTCAATACGGCAGCATCAGGCGCCATGTTTTGGTGAGCATATTCGGGAATGGAACCGATAATATTTTACATCGGAAATCGAGGTTTTCGAGTGTCTATTAAAGCATTGACGCTCTAATGATAAAAGATTACAGCGTGTATGTAAACTTCCTTCCTCGATCTGTTTTATGGATTCAGGCAGACAACGAGGACCAATTGAACGTATTTATGCTAAAAGGAGCTATGTGCATAGGAGTTGCGTGTAACATAGTTCCTTTTAGCATAAATAGTACGCTACCGTAGGTCGTAGGTGGCCCCTCCTTAATCAAAGCGTAATTTATTAGTTTACTGCTTCGATTCCGAAGCGAATTTCGGATAAGGGATTCAACACAGACTCAATCGTCAGTTATGAGGCGAGAATGATCGATTATGGATACACCCCTTTAGAAGCTATGGTAAAGAATCGATTATTATGGTACACTTTGCAAACACCCGGTTTATCGATCCTTTTCCATAAGTTTAAACTGAAGATGAAGCGATGTATCGCAAAGCACGCCACGCCACCGATAGACACCTGTTGAGTAGTAATTAGACGATTTGGCGCTGTCTAAAAATCCTTCTCGCAGTGGCACATTGATCACGTACGTCACAAATACTGCGTCACAGTTTCATTCCGAATTTAATTATGTCAGATCCCAATTCCAGGTTGGTTTGTGTCCAAATTTCACGACCTCTTTATGTTATGAGCGAATTAATGGATAAATTGGTAAATTATTTAACCGCGTGCCGTGTAAGCTGGAGAAGGGTTTTGCAGTTCGTCAGCTGAGGTTGCCGGAGCGTGTATATTTTACACTGAGTTATACCGAGGAAAGTACTAGTTTTTCAGCATAGCCTGAAACCTGTCGACCAATATCGGATTGTTTCTAATCTCGGTTCGTAATCAGAGCCGAGCTTTTAACCCAGTTTCAAAATTTGGGACTGATCGTCGCCAAAAATCACAACCGGAAACTACGAAACAAATCATGCATGATAGATGCTCACACAATGTGCATGTGACTCGCTTGATCAATTAAATCAATTAAGTCAAATCAAATCAATGCATTGCTTCGACTCCTGCTCTTGTGGCAGGTAGGGATCTCATTATTAGAGTTTACTAGCTGTGTACCAGTGGCGTGGCGTGAATTGCGATGTATCGATTGTTCCAACATTAGAACCTATGGTAAAGAATCGGTTAATAAGGTGTTCGCTACGAACACCCTGTCTATCGATTCTTTTCCATAGGTGTAAAAGGCGTAACAATAGATATATCGCAAAGCCCGCCACGCCACTGCTGTGTGCTTCATTCAGATTGCGAGGCCGTTGTATCATCAAGTAGTAAAAGTCTGTATTCGACTTGTTTGCCCCATTGCCGAATTTGAATTTACATCATTGAGTTTAGAAACTGCCCAACCCTAAAAAACACCATTTCAAAAGAGTGAATAAAGGTGCGTAACTAGCACCGAAGTCATAACGGATATAGATTGGCTCATGCAAAACTCTCCGCTTACAGTGAGTTTTGCATCCCGTCAGGAGTAAAATTAGGTTTGTACTAGGATAGTCGGTGGTTACACTATACTTTATTACTTATGGGACTCTACTGTTCTCGGACTTTCATCTTTTGAAAGTTTTATTTTGAAATTTAACCATTTGCTGTAAGTTCCAAAAATGAAACCATTTTCACCAAAAAAAAAAAAAAAAAAAAAAAAAAAAAAAAAAAAAAAACAAAACAAAAAAATCCCCAGAACTCCATAGTTACTTTCAGATTTAGAATTAATACGAGCATATCGATCCACCCCTCACCCACCTATTAAGCGATCGCCCCATTTAAGGCAAGCTCTCACACAGTTCACCGCCAACCTATTGTCTTTATACCTGTCGCAGCTGCAATTAGCAATCGCCGGCAATTCGTAAGTGGTCTCTGTGATGTCTCAGCAAATTGCAATGATTCCCATCAAAGTAATTGACGTTTACACGTAAATGCTCTTTACACGTTACATCGCCTTTACTGGCGAGATCTAGGTCTGGAGCGCCTTCATTTCCGCTCGATACTCTACGCCTTGTTACGGAGTCAGTTTAGTTGCCTATCCAACTGAAACCCAACTAATGATCAAGATCAGGTGTACCGGTTAGCCAGTTACTTGATGTCATCTTGACACCATCTTGGTTCTGATCGTGTGATCACTAACCTACGTATGTCTACCAGTTACTACTATCACCATCCGAATAATGGATTTGGGCCCGCAAATGTTCCGACCATTTTCGAGGAGTGTATGGATTCGAGATCGACATGATTCATTCGACACCGATTCGATTGATTCACGGGTTTGTCTATCGATTCACGGTTGTCAATCGAATCACGTCGACCGGCTCACGTTTTTAGTTGTCGATCGAACCCATATTTGCCCCATTCAGTCGCTTGTCTGATGTAAGGACTCATGTCAAGTTTACATGAGCCCTTTCTTGCATATAACTCCATCATGGTGTCTAGCATCAGGATTTTCCCGATTCTATCAGGATTTGAGGTCTAACAGGATTTAATACCAATTTCATCAGGATTTGAGGAAAAATCGGTCGTAAAATCAGAATTTCAGAAAAGTCGGCCATCCGCTTATTTTCCGTTAATTGCCCGCTATTCGTCCGTTAATTTTTCTCGGCAAAAAGTCAGGATTTGGAAAAATTATGAAATCAGGATTCAGCCGTCAAAAATGAGGAAAAATCAGGATTTCATCAGGATTTCCCAAAATGAAAAAAAACAAAAAACTAGACATCCTGTCCATGCTCTCTGGGGCTCACACGGAAATCGAAATTCGCCTTTACGCACTGGAAAAAATAAACACATTGGATCTAGCGTCCAGACTCTTAAAAACATCGACAAGAAAAAGTACTCTTGATTCAATCAGAATCTAGCTTAAATCAAGAACCAAGCCTCTTAATTTGAGCGGATTTCGTTTTGATTCAAGCAAAAATCCGATTGAATCAAGAGTATTTTTTCTTGTCAGTGTTTTCAAGAGTCTGGACTCTAGATCCAATGTGTTTTTTTTCCAGTGCACGGAAATCATGATTCGCCTTCTCGTCAGAAGAGCGACGATTTGCGGACCAACCGATCCGATCATTGTGTGATCGGTCCTGGCTCCTGGTTGGATTCCATCGTCCCCGACTGTAAGCTCGGCAACCGCGTGGCCGTAAATCTTACGATACAATTAGCCGACTGAGTGGACGGGGGCCGCGGGGCAGTGATTAGCGATGATCGGCGCGGTGGCGCGAGTGGCGAGTCTCTTCGGAAATCCACTGGAATCCAACGTAAATAATGATCCGTTCGATTACTCTTGCAAATCGCGACGAGGGTCAAGCGCGGACCCGCCGATCACGAGATGCAGTCGCGCTCTTGAGCGACTCGAGATGATTCGTGTCAATCTCGAGAGCTCTTCCGCCAACCATCCCCCCTCCGACCCCCNCCCCCCCCCCCCCCCCCCCCCCCCGCGCGCGGACACTCGACGAGGCGCGCGTACGAGCCATCGAACGTCAATCCATTAATCGCTCCCATAAAAATTTGCACATGGCTATCGCTCGTTAATTGAGTCATACGCGGAAAAAAAGAGGTAGGGGTTGTTGGATGGTATGGGCATTTCCGATAAATTGTGGTAGTGCCCCGATAGATTAGGTTAAATCGAAGATTGATGATGACTTTTACAACGAATTTTCCTCTCAACTGCCGTGCAACGCAAAAACGCCGTTAATGCCATTTTACATTTTTTTGGAAGCAATGTATAGTAACAGAAAAACTTGTATGCCTTGGGACAATGTTTTTACAGAATTCTTTAGCAAATACTATCAAAAACTTAACCTGAAGGAAAAATCTTGATGGATTTACGGCGTTCTTGCTTAGCACGGCATGGCAGTCAAGGTCAGGAAGGAACAAACGAAACCTCTGCAGTTGTTACTAGTAAAAAAGTCCCCTGAATTTGATGATGTGTTGTTGATACGTAAAATTCTGCACGATTCTTTGGCGAGAGCGCAATCAATTTCGACTGGGAGCATAGATCTGATAACGAGGCTGCCCTACATTCTAGGATTTTTTCATAATGTGACCGATAATTTGATAAAAAGAAGAGAGATGGTAAAAAATTCTTAATGGTCTCGTCAATTATCAATCTAACCCTTGTTTGCGTGTCAGACTTTGGCAGATGATGATCTCTAATCGTGCAGCCGCTTATTTACCTGTGGAATATTAGAATTGGGTTTGGAGCAAAAATTAATTTCATAACATCTAAGTGTTAATTTGTTTTCGTTGTTAACCATATCAATTTTTTCTTAATCTGTTTTATGATTTCGTTTATCATGATAAGAGCTCTCGTGTTACCGCTCTGAATTAACAGTAGAATATTTAAATTATTTAGCCAAGCTTCAAGTCCAGCAAGACTGAAAAGGGTAGCTCCCGAGTTTAATTTATTGGGCCAAATGATCAAACCAACCATCGATTTCTTTGTTGATCAGTATAGTGCCAGCAATACTACCGTGCTCAGGAAAAACGCCGTATAAACATTCGATAATTGCCAAATTTCCTTCGATGAAACATTATTTTCGAAGAAAATGAGTAGTTCTCTTGGAAATTTTTAGATGAGATTTTTATGGAGCCTTTCCTGAAAAATTTGGAGGAAAATATTGAGCAAATTAGGCAATGTCTAAAGTCTCATACGACATTCTTTCATTCTTCCGCAATACGGTAGAATATGTATTCGTATCCAAGGAGCCTCGTGGCGAAGAGGCAAGAGCTTCTACGCAGAAGAAGCCGAAACCGCCTACCCACTAATCAAACAAGTCTACGTAAATTTTACGTCACTTTACAGGAATTCCGTTGTGTACTCTCGTTTTCATAGCTCGGCGAGCATTACTCAGACCAAGGCTTGCCGAGGTCTAAGATCATCTTCATTTCCCCCGTGCTGAAGCCCCTCTCAACGCGTGAGTTACGAGTATGTTCGGCAAACCTGGCCTAGCTTCCATACTGCCACAGAAGAGCGAGAGTTCCCGAAGTTAATTAAGATAATGAGTTAATGAGTAATAATGAGTCTTCCAAATCATCTTCCTTCTCCGATTTTACTGTTCTCCTGTCGGGCGGCATCCACGCATTGTTGCCGAAAAGTGAGTAAAAATACCATAACTCTGGAAAAAAATTGTTAAAACATGGGTTTGTTCAGAGAATAATGAACAAAATTCCAACAGGAAAAATGTAACGTTAATTTTGGTATGAGTTTTTGAAGCCAATTTATTGTATATGCACTCTTAATTTTTGAAAAATGATTGACGCAGACAGCTTGCGGTAGCTATAATAACTTCAAATACAGGATTTATGCATTTAAAAGCATTTTCTTTGTTATCTAAGTTTTTGCTCTGAAAATTATTTTTTCTCCTTGTTTGAATCAGAAAAAAGTTTTTTGATTTAAAAAAAAAAGTGCATAAACGTGTATATTTCAAAAACACGTCCATTTCTCCTCTTATTTAAAAAAAAAAAGTGCATAAACGTGTATATTTCAAAAACACGTCCATTTCTCCTCTTATTATTCAAAAGAGCTTTTCTATTCTTTTTTTTTAAAAAAAATAAGTTTATGTCAAAAAAGAATTTCAAATTTGAGGAACTTCTCTTTAAACTAAGATAACTCATATAAAGCAAATAACTTTCCTATGAAGGAAAGAAACTCAGTTGGTTCAAGGGAAAAGTAGCTTTTAAAATAATTTGGCAAGTTCCATGTCCGATCAGTGTAAAAAGGAGCGTTTGTAAACTTTGATCTGACAATGCTTCAACGTTGATCCATCAACCATTTCAAACGAATGATTTTCGGCCTTTTAAATTGCCCCACTCAAAGTCAAGCACGCCTACATTAAAGAAAACATGCAATTTTTTCGCGTATTTTTCTGCGCGGCCCGATTACTTAGAATTAGGGTTTATTTGCCGCCCGACTGACAAAAGGGCGTAAGTACACATTGAGATGAGCCCGGAAAAGCATCATATTTATGAGCAACAGGGTTCATTGGAGAATGCAGTAACGCTCTTGTGTCAGTAGGGCGACGTATTGATTGTGAACACACTTGATCCGATACACTGTGTCAACCACCACTTGAGACGGATGACTAACTACTTAAAATTGCTGGAGAGGTCCTTGTCACTCCTAAGTAATTATGTTTCCGTAGAATGCATTTTCGTCTCCTCGTGTATGAATTGGACTATTTATGCCAAAAGGAAGTATATGTAAAGAGGTTACGTGCAACAGTTCCTTTTAGCATAAATACGTTCAATTATGCAGGAAAAGGGAAACTTTTCCTTTTGTCTGCCGTTTGAGCTTCAAAATTCGTGAAATTGAGATTTATCTCGTGTCGAGCAAGGTAGCAGCCGTGTGTGCAATATTGTGCGCGTTGCATGGCTATGTTTTCAGAATTAAAAGAAATAAATGTTGAGGCTGTACATCAGCAGAAAAAGGAACCATTCTACCGTATGTTAAGGAAGAGAACCGTAAGTGCAATTCTGCGTGAGTCACGGATGGCCAATTAAATGCTTTATTGTCCCTCGAGGCTCATCCCAAAATGCACTTATCAGTGGCGTAGTGTGCTTTGCAATGTATCAATTGATCTGTCATTTAAAGCAATGGAAGAGGATCAATAATCCGGGTTTTTCGCAACGGAAACTTAAATAATCGATTGTTTACCATAGCTTCAAATGGAGAAATATCGATAATCGATCATTCATACCTCGTCACTGACACTTACGGCTTTTTTCCGTATCATGACAGCATTTCACACAAGTTAGCAACAAGTACTTACAGTTCTCTAATTCGATTATGAGGAGTTACTGCTGTTTCGTCGAAAATAACGTACTGCGCACTTACTGTCCCGTGACAATCCTCGTATTTTGGAAGGAAGTCTTTGCTATGTTAGCGGATTCCATTCAATCCAATTGCATTGCTGGAATTTCCAAGAAAACTCAATTTCGAAACTTTCGCCGGCCATCTTTTCTTGGTAACACCGCATGATACAGCGAACCAGAAAAAGTTGATTGGGGATTTATGTGATTTTTCGCGCACGTCTGTAAGAACGGGTTTCACAGAAAGGATCAGAACTATAAATGTTTTTCTTTAAGACGTTTCGTTGTCAGGAGAGTTTGCTACAATTTCATATCTCTCCGTAAATTATTTCCTGCTTTTCCTTTAATCACTCAGAAAAGTCACTATCCATGAAAAGACAATTTCACCTCCAACCTGCAATAAAAGACATAAACTAAAAACCGCGAAAATAATCTCCTCGCAACCAATCCTGGACCAAGAGAAAGTATAAAGGAGTGACGAAACTTACTCCCGATTTTTATGGCACCCAATTATCAGAATCAATCGTTTGATAATTTAACCAATAAAAATACGATTATTACTCAGTCTCTCTCTTCAACTTTTCGGTGACGTAATGTTGAGGCACTGCACCTCTGAAGTTATGACTGATATGAAAGGAATAATTACGTGCGTCTATTCCCACCATTGTTTAGCAGCGTTCTCCTTTCATTCCAACTGAACACAAATTAATTAATGTGGAACTGTTATTTGCAACTTTTGTTAGCTCTATACTCAAATTTTTAGTATCAGTATTTCAATTATAATGAATCAATGTTCCTTTATCCTCCTGTTATTGCGAATGGTGGGAAATACAATTTTCCCATCATTTGCGATTTTAAGTTGAGAAGATGTAACAGTTTAACGATGTACAAGACTCATCTCGATCACTGAATTTTCTGAGAAACTACAAATAACATTTTGAGCAAATCATTTGTCATCGCTTCTCGTTGCAAATTCTCTATTTTCAGCGTAGTATTACGGCCAGGGTGGAAAAGTGTCACGAAAAATAATATCTTGAAATTTCACGTAGAATATTTCACGAAATTTCAGAAATGTATGAAAGATATTATAAAAATACCGGTTCCTTTTCTTGTTTCGCAAAATGTAAAAATTGTGACTTTCCTCTGTTTTTGTGCGTTTGAATTCGGGATGCATACTCTAGCCCCCGAAAAATATGAACTATTTCACAGCGTCGAGAAATTTCATGAAATTGCCAAGCTTTCATTTCTTTCTTACGTTTCATGCCACCCTAACGTCGTGTGAACAGTTAAGATCCCTCAAAATACATTTCCCTGTATCCTCACTTTAAAAGGTTATTTGGACTATGATCCCTCAAAATACATTTCTCTGTATCCTCACTTTAAAAGGTTATTTGGACTATGATTTGTAACTCATTTTTATCTTAATATTTGATGAAAGTTCTGAAGGGAGACTATGACTCAAACGCACTAATAGAAGAAAGTCCATTAGAAGTAGATGCTTTCCCATCGCTTCGAGCAGTGACATTAATAGCTCTGTTAGAAAAAGGGGAAACGCTTATTACGTTTTAGCGTGCGCACAGTCTTTTTCAGAATGAGGACTTGATGTAAAATATTTCCGCCCGGTAGATAGGATCGGCGCACTCGTTTCCGTAATGTATTTACACTTGCCTTTTATCCTAAATATTTATAGGTTATTGAACCTTCCATGGCTCATTGTATGTTTTTTATATCTTAGGAGCCATAATTCTCTTTTCCTCTCGTGCACCGTGCACCCTCATGCATCGCTCAAATATTACGCGACGAATTCAAGAGACGCATTTCGGTATGTTACCAAAGGAACCTTATAAGGTCACTACTGCACAGTAATCTGATCTAAACTGAAATGAAAACTGCACCAAGCAAAAGAAGTCTATACCTGCAGCAGAATTAAAAACGCATTTTCATTTAGATTTAGATCACCGTCATTGCCATTCTCGTCCCTCTCCAGGGCCGGATTAAGGGGGTGGCCACATGAGCCGCGGCTCATGGCGGCAAAATTATGGGGCAGCAAATTTTGCAATTTTTTTAAATGCAGGTGCAAAAAAAATCGGATTCAGAAAAAAATTACAAACAAGAAAAGGTGACAAAATCTCTCATTTCCTGAGAGTTCATTAATTTCTAATTTTGTTGTATTTCGGTGATACAAAAGACTGCGCACCTTTAATTAGTTGAGTTAAGAGAGAAACCAAACACGTAATTTGGCCTGGAGTGGCGCGGCGCAAAGAGAAATGATGACGAGGACTTGAGATGAAAAGGGGAAGCCCTCGACGCGGCGGTCGGCGTGTAACACATGTTAGCGCCTACGAGACTGCATGCATACTTCACACATTGCGTCAAACACAGTACGGTCAACAGCGGGCGGCGCGGCGTGAAACGCACAGTGCCTACAAGACTACATGAATACTTCACGCATTGCGCCAAACACAGTGTGGTCAGCGCGGTACACGGCGCGCGGCGGCAGAAATTAAAATTATTAAACCACATTTATGTTTGTTCTTTCTTAATTTTTTGGTTCATTTCTTACAAATGAAAGGCCTTGTCCCCACGGATATAGGTTAACGGAACTGAACTTTCGCGCGAAGTTCCGTGAACTTTTGCTAATAGTGTTGACAGGGCTTACGCAAAAAATGTGTCCAACACGAGTAAACGTGTCTTATGCACCCTTCTTCCTCCTGCACGTTCACTTGATGGTTTTTATTGATGTTTCAAAATGAATGAGAAGAGGGCGGCAATATGGTAAATCCGACCATGTCCTTCTCTAAATTTATTTGCGTTCACATGTGTCAGTCGTATAAGGCATTCAACGTACGCCTTCTTTTCGAAACTCTCAACACAGATAGAGTTTTTTTGCTTAGATACGGTCTTACAGGAAGAAAAAAACTTTGGTTAAACGGACCGAATGTTAGTGCATAAGGAGCACTTAAGTTGTCGGTTCAGGAGACTGAAGTTCTCAGTCCTGGGACCCGAACTTCAGTACAGATAACCAACGTCTCTCATGCAGAATACGAGTATTACTCTTCGTATGGTGAACAAAAATTTCGGATTTTCCACTGAATTTCGATCCTTATGACTAAGAACTGTAGGTTTCCATGTGTCAGCCGATGTTTTTCGCCTTCTGTAACCCCATCTTTTATACTGGTGTACTCCCAAACGTCACAAATACCTGTCTTTCCGAGGGTTGTAGGGCTACTGACATCTTATTATCTCCTCGTCCACACGAGGCTCCGTCACCATTATTTTATACGTAGGACATCCCTGTCCTCCTCTTCCGAAATCTACTCTACCCAAAACTTGTTTTTTATTGTTTAATGTTTATTATGCGTCCGATTTTAATTTTGGTGTTTTTTTGTGTGTTTCAGAAGCTCTGGGAAGCTCGGGTGTTGGCTGGACTTCGGCGGGTGTGGCGGGTGGTGCGCTCGGAGGGCCCTTCACGCGATAACCGTGGATACCTTGGCTTGGAGCTCGTACGGGAAAAGAGTTCGGGAGCAGGTGAAAGTAAGCGGGGTGCCCCTAGGCGGCGGCTCGGCGGCTTCGCGACAGGCCCCGGTGGCGGCCCCGCTGCAGGCCCCTTGCCCCCCGGCCCCACCAGCGGCGAGCCAGCCGGTGAAGAAGCAGCGGCTCGACCACGCGGCCAACGCCCACCCCACCGCGGTCATGAACGTCAACGTCCAGGTCGACCCCGCCGACAACATCTGCAGGGAGGTCGCGCTCTGCCAGAGCATGGACTCCATCGCCAACTCCCAAGGAGAGGAAGAGGTTCGTACCAACCACCGATCTTATTATCCATGTAAATATTTCCATGATTGAAACCCAAGCAAGGCAAGAAACCCTCCATTGCACCGAGAAAAAATCCGGCTGTGGAAGCTGCACTTACGGGCTATGTAGACATACCGTCTGCGTTCCGGACAAACAGGCCGAAAGTTCCGGGTAAAGCATCCGGAGCAGTCGAAGCTAAGGCTCCAGCACCCAGAATGGACAGTATGTCTATATGGCCCGCAATTTTTTTTCAGTGCGCTGTCTTTGCAATGGTGGAAGCTTTTACTTTCGGGGCCTCAGCATTCAACTGTTGGGTTACCTATATCAGATGGATGTTGAACAACGTGTCGGGGATTTCGTTTCGCAAACATACCGAAGTTTGGCAAACTTGTTTGGCTCATTACGTCACCGAAGCTCATCATCCAACTAGTAGGTAGGTTAACAGCCGAAAAAGGGCGATGATTGTTGCCATCTTATAATTTTGTCCGTAAGGAAGTGTTGAATCTCTAAGAGTAAAAGTTTCCGCCAGTCTCATTTTTATGTTCTCATTACTCATTTTTGCGGTAGGACGCTCATTTGGACGTATTTCTGTCAAACGGAACTATGTGCATTATGGCGTGAGCCCTGCTATGCATGTATTCTTATGGGTCGCAGGAGTCATGTCTTAATGCCCATAGTTCCTTTCAGCAGAAATACGTCTATTTATGAACATTCCTGACAATTTCGGTTTGCTATCGGAATTCGAAGATTGACAGAAGCATTTTTATGGTGTTTTTGTATTAGAGGGTTAACAGACTGCCCTGTTGGGCCCTAAGAGCTCCATTTTTCGAAATGTCCGTACTCTCGTCATATGGGTACTCTACCCCACACCAGTCCGCACCAGGTTAACATCCTCTCAGACAGACGTGGAGCCATATGCCTCGGGAAATCGCCCGACTCGGGTTCGCCGTCGGGCAGTCTGGCGGTGCCCGTCGAACTCGGAGGTCTGGACGTCCCCCCCGGGGGGCGGGGGGGGGGATAGCGGGAGCGGCCCCGGTGATGAAATCCAGATCTAGCGGCGGCGGCGGCGACGGACGGCGCGGCGCACGTAGCGTGCGAGGTGTAAGATAACAGGCCGGGCTGACCGTGAAAATGAGAAAATTGATGCAGGCCAGAAGGAGGCCGCCGCACCGCGCCGAGCCACGCCGCGCCACACCGCGCGGCAAGGTGAAGTACGCCGCGCCGGCCAGCCCGCTCGCTGCCGGATCGCCCGCGACGACGACGGATCTGACGGATGCGCCGCACCGAAAACGGTCCAATGGCACCACGAACACCCAGAGAGGTCCTCGTCCTGTCTCCTGGTAATGGCGGAAACTTTTACTTTCGTATATGCTATTCCTAGTCAGTAACAGTCAACTTGTGCTATCCTTGGCTGTTGAACTGAGAGTTATGACGAGCAGTATGCCCTGAAAGTTTTTCAAGTATCAGATTGTTTGCCAAACAAATCGCTCAAAAGTCAACGAAAAGATGATTTCAAGGGGTGTGTAGCAGAGCTTCAGAAGACGATTTCGCCTATTGGCAAGTGAGCGAAGAGGGTTTCAGTTCGTCCCTGAATGGTATTCCTGCTAGAGCTTAGACAGAGGTAGAACTTAGTTCCACCGTATGTATGTGCTCTTACATTGTAATTTCACAAGGAACCAGATAGGAATATTTGAATACCTCGACCCGATGGTGGTGAGATTATCTTCCGTATAAAATTAGGCGAATTCAGATCTGACGGTTCTTAATTTGGAATTGCATCAAAGATTCATTAGTTCTACTCACTAACTGACAATTCAATGGATCTTCAATGCAAGTTGTTCAGAATTAGAAGTTTCAACGCAGAAACTGGTGAAGGGTCTGTACTTTAATGTGGTGGGCATTAGGATTTTTTCTTTCGCTAGAGTTATATACTCATGGGAAAATTATCCCTACCCTACTAATAACGAACATGCATTTCATTTCTAGACACAAACGTGCTTTTTCCGGCTTCGCTGGCCTATAGACGCGGGCCGAATTGGAGGGCGGTCGGGCAGCGGCGCAGAGTGGTGATGCAATTATTGCCAGCGCTGTCGCGGCTGCCCACATGAGCGGCGGCCGCGGCCGCGGACCACACTACAGCCGCGCCAAGTAAAAACGCCGTAAGAGCCATCAGGCGTTGCCAAATTTCCTTCAACAAACCTCGAAATTTATGGAGTATTACTAAATATTTTTCTACCAATTTTTCAGAGAATTTTGTTCACAATTTGATCTATAGTGTCTGAAAATTCGGAGAAAAAATATTCATAATGGAGATGTTGCATGTGTGAGGGATTTGCTGACTGTTGATTCTCATGTAAAAGTTCGCGAGAAACACGATGGTGCCACTGGTTTTCTCTGAAATTATCTCCCAAGCTCAAAAAAAGCTCTCAAGTTGAGGCCAAAATGGAGGGGATATCCCACGCTATCCTAAGAGTCCACCTCTACATCAAAACAAACTCTCCGTGCAAAGATAGGGAGCAAATACATTAGCAGGGTTGCCGTGTTTTCAGTTTTGGAGTCCCCAAATGAATTGGCAGCCCTGTCAATGTATTTGCTCCCTATATTTGTATGGAGAGTTTGTTTTGATGTAGAGGTGGACTCTTAGGGTAGGATGGGATATCCCCTCCATTTTGGCCTCAACTTGAGAGCTTTTTTTGAGCTTGGGAGTTGATTTCAGAGAAAACCAGTGGGACCATCGTGTTTCTCGCGAACTTTCACATAAGAAACAACAGTCAAATCGCAAATCCCTCGCACATGCAACATCTCCATTGTCTTAAAAAATAAGCGTTTTTGAGAGGAAATTTGGCAACATGCGAATGCCTATACGGCGTTTTTACTCAGCACGGCAGAATAGCGCGGTGGAGGTCCAGCTCCGGCACATCGGACGGGACACCGCTACGCTGCCGTGATAGCGGAGACAGCAGTAAGTGCATTTCTGTGTGAGCCATGGTTAGCACATGCTTTTATGCGTCTCGAGGTCCATCCCAGCATGGACTTACTGCTCTCTTCGCTATCGCGGCAGTGCGGATACGCTACGCTAGCGGCATGCCGTATGCATTACGGGCCCTGCTAATTGCGCCATCCTCTGCCCCGCCCGCGCGCGGCCCTCGAAATGGACCAACCTAGAAAGTCGCTGAAACTCGAGCTGGTTTCATTGTCAGTGCAGTTGAGCTTGGTGCCTCGGTTTGGAGATCGGGAGGAGGCTTATCGACGGTGGCCGATTTTCATGGAGTTCCAGGGCTTTTCTGGACAGATGGACTCCACCCGATTACGACAATGAGTAGCCAGCGAGCTGATTACATATAGGGGAACCCAATGGTTNGGGGGGGGGGGCGTTGGAACGAAAAAGGGACCTCTCGCCGGCTGAAAGGGAGGAAGGAGAAGAGGCGGAGGAAAGAGAAAAAGAAACGGAGGTAAGAAGGAGAGGCGCTCATATTTGGTAATTATTCATGACGACATTGACTAATACCGTATATTATATGGTTTAAAATTCCGAAATTAACCCCCTCCCCCCCCCCCCCCCCCGGATGGATGGGGTTCAGATAAAAAATCTGCCCCTCCTGTTTGAGGTGTCGGGAGCCGCCCATGACTGATCATTGATATTGATAGACGAAGCAATAGACACAGAAGACAAAGGAAGAATGGAGCGTCTTTATTCGTTCTAACAGCTGGCTCTTATGGACTGAGAAGGGAAATTATGGACTAGAGGTTCTTTCCTCACTTGACATTAGTTAGTCTATTAGTTACCACATTTTTTCATTGCAACCATCCACTTCCATCCACAGGATATCCCTCCATTTTCCCTTTGTCTTCTATGTCTATAGCTTTGTTTCACTAAACATCCTCTTGCTAAGCCCAGCGGGCTGATTATCGAAATTTATAGACAAAGCAATAGACAAAAAAGAGAGGGAGTATGGGACCATCCTATTGGTTGAAGCGGGTGGTTGTTATAAAGTGAGGCGGAAAATGATGGACGGGTTGCCTTTAGTTAGTGCCTTTAGTTACTTCCACCAACAGGATCACTCTATTTTCAATTATCCATCTTCGTCTATCGCTTTGCCCATCAACTTCAATAATCAGCCCCCTGCCAGGCCCAGGTCTTGGCTATTTTGCATGTTCTCTCGCCGGCACGTGGAGAGACATAGTCATCCGAGGAAAACATGAGCATAAAAATGTGATGAAAATTTAACTCACAGGAATTTATTGCAGCTTCATTTCAGCCCGCATCTTCATTTTGATTAGATCTTTTCCACAACGATCATGCGGGATTTACGCGGGCCTAGTAGCTCTCATCTGAATAACGAGCTAGTTTTCCTTTTCCTTGAATAGCGCGCCGTGAGTCAATTAATGAGGCTCTGTACGAAAAGCGAGCAATAAAAGCAAAAATCTCTTTGTGTATTTAATGCTCTAACTAGGCTCTTTATTATTTAGAGCTCTTTCTTTCCTCATCTAGTTGGTTGTTGGACATGGTTTTCCGGTGCTCAACAGATTTGATTCGTGTGCCCACGGCATGATATCTACTCTAGTGAAAGTAGATGAATCTCTTAGTATGATAGGTGTTGCAGTGAAATGCAAGTAGTGAGATTAGTACTAACTGTAGGTGCATCCATATGTGCGTCCTGTTTACACTCTTCAGTTTCCGCTCGTACTGCGTTTTGTACCACGAACATATCCCCAATGATGCGGAGGGAAAGCAGCGGGCTGATTATTACCGAATGTCCAACTTACTACCGTTGAAAAAACTAAGTTGTCCGCCTGCAAACAATTTTAAATATAAAAGTAAAAAACTATGAAAAATCCAGCAAAGATGTGCCATGTAGTGTCCATTGCCCAGGAAATGAAAGTAAAATTTTACCACAGGAAGAAAGGAGGCACCCTAAGACAGTTTTGCTCAGAAATATTATAACAATGCTCGAATCATTTTATTTTTGAAAATTCAGGAAATGAGATGTTTCAAGTAT